CATTTAGCATCGACCTTTAATGTTATTAGTCCAGTAACATAGCCACTGTACTACCACACACCTGATCAGATTTGATTAAAGTTAAACAGGTTTAAGCAATTCATGACTTTATAGCCATATACATCACTGCTTGAGTTATAAAGGCTGGAAGGTCCCAGGCTTAATGGTCTGTCTGTGTTCAGTTAGCAGATGTCAATCAGCTTAGCAACAGGGGGTGTTATTATTGTCTCAATGACCTTGTATTCAGGGATAATTAGATGGGGTTCCCATTACTGGCCAAGACTGTTGGTAGGTAGGGGTATTAGGGTATGGAATATAAACTGGGTTGCTGACATTAAGCCCCTGGGGGGGGTTTAGCCATGATCTAATTGAGTGGGAGCTTAGCATTAAATGCTGAATGACTTATTTTGAGGGACTACTGCTGGAAATTGTGCCTTGACATCTAAACCCCTTTCCCGAAACTGGCTCAATGTTTGTTGCTTCAGCCCGAGATTGTGGAACTGGCATTAATGGTGACAAAAGCAGTTAGCAACTGATGTATGAAGAAACAGATCTGTAGTTTGATTTCAATGTCAAAGCGCTATTTGCCCAAACCTGCCTTTGGAATGCACTGTTCATGTTTTTAATTTCTCCAATACTCTCAACAATGGATTCCAAAATAACGTCATTAAAGCAAAAACAAAAAAGAACCGCCAACAAATCACAGATTTCCCTCTCTTTCTGTAGGGATTACCAAAATCTCTAACCAACTCTGTTCATACGTTAGGAACAAATTACTGCAGATGCTGGAACCTGTACTGAAAACAACAAGTGCTGGAGATCACAGCAGGTCAGGCAGCACCCATGGAGAGAGAGCAAGCTAACGTTTTGAGTCCAGATGACTCTTCACCAGAGCTCTGATGTGGGAGTTGGTTAGCCAAGTTGGCTAGCTGGTTGCGTTGTGATGCCAACAGTGTGGGTGCAATCCCTGTACCACCTGAGGTTACCGTGATGGAAATCCCTCAGCCTGAGATGTGGTCACCCTCAGGTCAGCATCAGTCATCGCTCTTGCTCTCTTCCTAATGAAAGAGCAGCCCTATGTCCAGCAGATCTATGACAATTTTTTACTCAGGCTTGTCACACATTGAGAAGCTATTGGATTGGTGGTAAAAACTCAACTGGTTCACTAATGTCCTTTCGCAAACTGACACCCACATCCCAAGAACTGATGCATAAAGTACCTCATTAGTACCAAGCAATGGATCACACCTCCCGTGTCCTTTCTATCCCAGACAAAGCTAGTTATTTAAGTTTGTTGTTGTTTGAGCCTGTGTAAATAGCCCACCAACAGTATTGCAGTCAGACAGAGATATTTACTAAACATTGTCCAAAAAGTCATTTATTGTTCAGCACCTCAAATCATAGAATCCCTACAATGTAGCAAAGAGGCTATTCATCCCACAGTGACCCTCTGAAGAGCATCCTGCTCAGACTGATCCCATCCCTTTAACACCTCACCATTTCCCATGTCTAACCCACCTAGCCTGCACATTCTTGGACACTATGGGGCAATTTAGCATGGCCAATCCACCTGACCTGCACATCTTTGGACTGTGGGAGGAAACAAGAGCACCCAGAGGAAACCCACGCAGACGTGGGGAGAACATGAAAACACCACACATACGGTCACCTGAGGGTGGAATTGAACCTGGGTGCTGGGCGCTGTAAGGCAGCATTGTTAACCACTAAGCCACCATGCCAAGATTTTGCCGCTGTATTTAACAAAAGGGCAGTCTTTTAAAGAGTCTTTTAAAGATTAATAAATGCGCTTGGCAAACATACTTTTTTAGAGTCCAGAAAACCCGAACCCACTACACATTTTTGCTGACAAGAGCAGAAAGCGATGACGTATTTTGAGAGTGACAGGATGCGGGGAAATGGAGAGAGTAAGGTAACGTGTGGCGAACTGGACTTCTCTTCAAAAGAGTTAGTGCAATTTCAAAGTACTGGACAGTCTCCGTCTGCGCCGAACTATTCAATTCCATTTCTTCCTTTACGCTGTGTAAGCAAATGAGGAAAAGAGGCCCAGCCAGCATCAGGTCCTTGCCGTAAGGATGAAAACTGAGAGATTGCCTGCTGGTTGTGATTGTGAACACTGGAGCTCCTTTGACATGGCTCAGATTGTTTTTTAGCTTTTCAGAGCATCCTGGCATCCAGTTCACGTTCAGGTCCAATCGCGACACAACAAAGTCTGTCCGACAATGACTCTTTTCAACAAACGCTGAAGGGAACTGTAATGTGGTCACCGCTGACCAGAGTTACCCACTAGCCTGCCCCTGCACTGCACGCCACACAGACTGAGAATGAAAGACTATCGCATACAATAACAAGTTACATAAAAACAGGGGATTGCTTACCTCAGTTAGCTGGACGGCTGACTTACAATGCAGCATGAAGCCAGCAACATCAATTCAGCTCCTGAACCCTCTCTAACTGCCCTGAGGGCATTTAAGAGTTAACCACATTGGTGTGGGTCTGTAGTTACATATAGGCCAGACCTGGTAGCTTCCCTAAAGGGTATTAATGAACAAGATGGGGTTCTTCCAACAATGATCATCATTATTCACTTCTAAACCTCTCCCCTCCCTGAGGCACGATGTCCCTTCAGTTAAACCACCACCAGTTGTCTCTCTCTAATGAGACAGCTGTCCCATGACCTGCTAAGACTATAGTGACTTTATCTTTTTATGAAAGATCAATTTCAATCCTTAGAAAAATTGATAAAATATAGATTCCCACGGGATATAGAAGAATAATTTCACAGAATTACTCTGCTCGATGAAAAACCTCCATCACATTCTGTCTGCATCTTTCGGATTGTTGACCTACCATGTTCTCACAGTGGCAAATACTTTGCAATAATCCTCGTGATCTGACGCTCATTCCTGTTCCTGACCTCCAGTTTTCTAAATATGTTTTATTAACCAGCACCAGATTTGGCCACATAGAGTCATAGAGTCATACAGCATGGAAACAGACCTTTCAGGCCAATCAGTCCATGCTGAACATCATCCCAAACCTAACCTGCCCCACCTGCCTGCTCCTGGCCCATATCCCGCCAAACCTTTCCTATTCATGTACTTATCCAAATGTCTTTTAAATGTCATAATAAAACATCCACTCCTTCCTCAGAAAGTTAATTCCACACGCGATCCACCCTCTGTGTAAAAACTTTGCCCCTCATGTCTTTTTCAAATCTCTCTTCCTCTCACCTTAAAAATGTGCCCCCTGGTCTTCAAATTTATCTGTGTCTCGCACCATTGCCTTTGTTATACTGTAACAACTTTGCTGGGAAGCCTCCTCAGGGCTTGGCTAAATTAGAGAGGCTGAGTGGCCTGCTCCCAATCCAAACTCATGTTTGTACATAAAGCCAACACTTTCAATGTAGCCCTGATGGCATAGAGAGAGCAGGCGTCAGAAACATCAAACCTTACACTTCATTGGTTCCCGCAGAGAACACTGGGAATGTTCTCGAATTCATTCACAAGACATGGGCATCGCTGGCTAGGCCAGCATTTATTGCCCATCCGTCATTGTCCACAGAGCAGTTCAAAGTCAAACACATTGGTGTGGGTCTGGAGTCACATGTAAGCCAGACTTCCTTCCCTAAAGGGTATTAGTGAACCAGATGGGTTTTGCTCCCAACAATGACCATCATTATACTCTTAATTCCAGTTTTCATTGATTTCAAATTTCACCATCTGCCACATTGGGATTTGAACCCAGGTCCCCAGGATATTACCTGGATCTCTGGATTGTCAGTAGGCTATCATCTCACCTGAAACTTGCCACCACAGGAAATAGTTAGGGTGGGGATGGGATAGCAGAGATGAATTTGAAGGATAGAGGGATGAGATAGAGTCATACAGCATGGAAATAGAAGGAGGATATTATTAAACTGGAGCATGTTCAGAAAAGATTTACCAGAATGTTACTGGGAATGAAGGGTTTGAGATATAAAAATAAACTGAAAAGGCTGGGACTTTTTCACTGGAGCATGGCAGGTTGAGGGGTGACCTTGCAAAGGTTTATAAAATCATGAAGGGCACAGGTAAGGTGAATGACAAGGTCTTTTCCCAAAGGCGGGGATTTCAAGACTAGGGGGCAAGGAAAGGAGAAAGGCTTAAAAAGGACATGAGGAACAACTATTTTACACAGAGAATGGTTACTGGATGGAATGAACTTCCAGAGGAAGTGGTGACTGCAGGTACAATTACAAGGTTTGGAAGACATTTGGATAAGTTCATCAATAGGAAAGGTTTAGAGGAATATAGGCCAAGGTAGGACTAGCTTAGTTTGGGAACAAGGTTGGCATGGACTAGTTGGACCGCTAGTTAATTGGGAGCAGGATAGTGTCAGTATAGACCAGGTGGGCTAAATGTTTGTATCGTGTGTGTAGAGCATGAAGTAGCTAGTTTTTTTTGGTGGTAAGATTTGCAGATTGGGTTCGTTTATGAGATCAGATTACTATATTTCTTGCATATGTACTGCCCATTGCCCTCAGTGGGAGGGGATGGCCTAGTGGTATTATTGCTGGACTGTTAATCCAGTGACCCAGATGACGTTCCGGGGAACCCGGGTTTGAATCCCGCCATGGCAGATGAATTCAATAAATATCTGGAATTAAGAATCTAATGATGACAATGAATCCATTGCCAATTGTTGGGGTAAAACCCATCTGTTACACTAATATCCTTTAGAGAAGGAAACTGCCATCCTTACCTGGTCCGGCCTACATGTGACTCCAGACCTGCAGCAATGTGACTGACTCTTAACTGCCCTCTGGGCAATTAGGGATGGGCAATAAATGCTGACCATTCAGCAATGCCCTCATCCCGTGAATGAATAAAGGAAGAAAAAAAACTCACCGTTGGCACACTATTTGATGAAATTTATCCAATTAATGCCTACACACAACAATCCCTGGTCAAAGCATTCAAGTGTACCCAGGAGATACTTACAGAAACCCTGCTGCGTAGGTATCCGAAAGATTGGTAGTTCCTCCAGCCCATGCTGGCCCTACTCCCCCAAGCCACACCTTTTTCCCTGGTACATGAGAGTTGACCACCTGTTGGAGGGAAATAATTTTTGGTGCATTAAAAGGAGCAGGATTTAAATGCGCTACACAGATTGAACAATGGAGATCAATTGGCTGAATGCTGCAGCAAGAGAGTCGGCATCATCTATCTCTCATTTATTGAGTATGTCACATTACTGTCTACCAACTTTTTTTTAGCAATTCGTTGCAAATAACAAGGGAGTCATGGTGGAAAATGTAGAGTTGATGTTACAGTTAGATCCACCAGGATCGCAGCGAATGGCAACACAAGCTCGAGAGGCTGAATGGCCTATTCAATTTTTAAAAAATCATTCATGATGTGAGTGTCTCCGGCTCGGCCAAGATTTATTGCCTTATCGGTAAACGTATTGTGCAGAGAGCAGATAAGCTCATGTTGCTGAGGAGCTTTTTCTGAAGAAGGGTCTAGGCCTGAAACGTCAGCCTTCCTGCTCCTCTGATGTTGCTTGGCCTGCTGTGTTCATCCAGCTCTACACCTTGTTATCTCTTAAGCTCATGTTGCTGTTGTTCTGGAGTCACACGTAGACCAGACCAGGTAAGGATGGCAGCTTCCTTCCCTGGGTATTAATAAACCAGTTGAGGGTTTTTTTTCCCAAACAACAGTTTCATGGCCATCATTAGACTTTTAATTCAAGATTTATTATTGAACTCAAGTTCTTCCAGGGCAGGATTCAAATCTTGAGCCCCCAGAACATTTCTTGGGTTTCCAAGTTAATATTCTAGTGATAATACCCCTAATCACATCCCTCAGGATCTTACACATTTCAGCTAAGTCACCTTTGACTCTTCTAAATTCCAGAGGATAGAGGCCCAGCCTGTCTAGCCTCTCCTCACAAGGCAATCTGCTCATTCCAGGTATTAAGCCTAATAAACCTTCTCTGAACTGTTTCCAATGCATTAACACCCTTCAGTAAGTACGGTGAGCAACAATGTACAGAATACTCCAGTTGCAATGAGTGAAACTTGAGCAGGGGAATTGAAGCCAAGTGCATTTTCCCTTTCCTTAATTCCTGCCCCTCCCACAGGCCCAGCCACCCCCTTACTGGGACTTTGAGATTGTTGGATTCCCGTTCTTTCTCAGTCTCTCCTTCCTGAGATTTATAGACTCTGAGGTACCAACCACAACTGAGCAAATCACTGACTGGTGGGATGCTACAGTATCTTTATGCCTTTCCACAGATGCAAAGTTTCAGCCTACCAATGAATATAAGAGGCATACAGCACACAGAGACTGTGAGTTGTGGGTGCCTTTCATTTAGTACAGGTTAGGAAAATAAACTCAGAAGTGAGTAAGAAATGACCAGGAGCTCAGTGATTAGGAACTGAGACACCATTTGTTTTGATTCACTGGAAACCGTGCTCAGAATCTTTTGACTCACTGGAGGTCTAGCGCATGCTGTTCAGCTTTTAAAAACAACCACATTGAGCCAGTCACACATCAACTTATTTTGACTGTTTCTCTTAACATTACATTCTTAGCCACAGCAGGAGAGGTCTGTTACATCAGATGCCCTGTAGTAACCGTTAATAACAAGAGATTCTTTTTTTTTCGGAAAGAAACCTATCAAAGCCATCCCACTAAATTCTTAGGCAGTTGTAAACTTGTTTCTAAAACTCCCTAACTTCTATAAAATCTTAGCAGGCACCATTGACGGGAGGCTTGCACATACGGAACACTTGCAAATTTTTAGGAGCAATGTATTTGTATATAGTGGGGCAGCTGGCTTGCCATTGTCATGTGACTTCCGTCCCTTCTATAACCTGCTCTCACTTTAGTTTGTTGCAGTCATTAAATGTAATTTTTGAAACACAGCCCATGGTTGAGCTGCTGACCTCCGGTCATACCAAATTTCACCAGCCCTTGACTGTTCCTGCCTTGTCCTGTTCTCTTGCAATCATCATTCCTTCTTCCTCTCTGCCACTGACATTTAGACTCACTGCCCCATTACCTTTTGAGTGGCACAGTGGTTAGCACCGCTGCCTCACATCGCCAGGGACCCATGTTCAATCCCACCCTCGGGCAACTGTGTGTGGAGTTTGCACATTCTCCCACTGTCTGAATGGGTTTCTTCCCAGGTCCAAAGATGTGCAGGTTAGGGTGGATTGGCCATGGTAAATTGCCCGTAGTGTCCAGGGATGTGCGGGCTAAGCAGGTTAGCCAGGGAAATGCAGGGTTACAGGGAAGGGGTGTGTCTGGGTTGGATGCTCTTCAGAGTGTTGGTGTGCATTTGATGGGCTGAATGGCCTGCTTCCACACTGTAGGAATTCTGTAATTCTATTTGTTTCTGGTCAGCACTTAAAATCTGTGCAACTCCCTCATCCCTCTCCTTTAATGACAACTTTTCAACACCTAAGTCTGGCATCTTCTAATCACTGCTCCTAACTCAAGTCTTCCTTAACATAGAGTCCTTCAAAATAGACAGCAAGAGTTTTTAACAGGTATTTGAAAAGGAAAAGAGTAGAGTGTGTTCTGGGCTGTGCAGAGATACAAAGTGGAGTCATACCAGACCCGAAATGTTAACTCAGTTTCTCTTTCCCACAGACGCTGCCAGACCTGTTGAGTTTCTCCAGCACTTTCTGTTTTTATTATAAATGATGTGTGTGTTGGTCCTCTAAAGACTGAGAATGAAGAGTTAACTGATAATAGGGAATGGCAGTTGAACTGAACAAATATTATGCTTCTGTCTTCTCTGTGGAGAAATCAAAGAGTATTCCAGAAAAGGCTGTAGATGAGGAAGGCAGCAAGGAATTTGGTGAAATTATAATCTCCAGGACAGCAGTACTGAGCAAATTGAGGGAGCTGCATGCTGAGTGTCCCCTAGGTCCAGATACAACCATAAGATACGGGAGCAGAATTAGGTCAAGCAGCCCAATGATTCTGCTATGCCATTAGATCATGGTTGAAATATTTCTCAATCCCATTCTCCTGTCTTCTTCATGGCCAATCGTAATCCCAAACTAAACTAGTCCCACCTGCCTGTTCCTGGCCCATATCCCTCCAAACCTTTCCTATTCATGTATCTATCCAAATGTCTTTTGAACATTGTACTTGTATCTGCAGCCACCACTTCCTCAGGAAGTTCATTCCACAAGCGAACCACCCTCTGTGTAAAAAAATTGCTTCTCATATTTTTTTAAAATCTGTCTCCTCTCACCTTAAAAATGTGCTCCCTTGTCATGAAATTCCCCCTCCTAGGGAAAAGACGACTTCTATTAAGTCTATCTACACCTCTCATTATTTTATAAACTTCTATCAGGCCACCTCTCAACCTCGTATGCTCCAGTGAAAGAAGTCCCAGCCTATCCAGCATTTCCCTGTAACTCAAATCATCCATACCCAGCAACATCCTGGTAAATCTCTTCTGAACCCTCTCCGGCTTAATAATATCCTTGCTATAACTGGGTGACCAGAAATTCTATTCTATGTTTTTGTTTGTTGTTGAATTTGGTGGATTCTCCTGTTATTTTGAACAATGACTATTTGACAAGTAGACAGATTGTTTGGTATCATCTCAAATGTGATGCTCTAACCAAGTCCTGGTTTGCAGATATGAAATCATTGTTGGAGGGGAAGGTTGAAGGCACTGGCACTGTTCTCCCTGATCCTAGATGGACCTGACTCTGCTCTCTTCAGACATTGAGATTGCTTGATGATAGAGGCATTTCTATTTGTCCTGGGTGTTTCTTCCTTCTTTTGCTGGGATCCAACTTCCAGACTCTGAAATTGGCATTTAGAATGTCTTTGTACCTGAGTTTGGGGTTCCTGTTGTATGGGTTCCTCAGCTCTGTAGGCTGTAGAGTACGGCCTTTGGTAGGTGAGAATCCTCCTTGTGAACGACATGGTTAACCAAGCACACCCGAGCTCTGCTGAGCATGCTCCCAATATCGGGTATGCAGCCCCTTGCATCTCATGTTTGAAATCTGACCCATCCCTTGACATACCTTAAGCAGTGAAGGTGGAATGCTTTTGACGTCTTGATGAGTTGCATGGCGTTTGTTCAAGGCTCACGGATATAGAGAAATGACCTGACGACTGCTACGTGGTAGACTTTGGTCTTTTTTTTGACAAATTCCATGCACTCACCACAGTCTGTGGGTTCACCATGCAACGTGTTGCCTTTGGAGATGACGCACTCTAAGTAGCAGAGCTTCTGAACTGTGTCAAGGGCTGTGTTTTTTTATCTCCCTCACCTCCTTTAATATCCTCTAGAAACTTCACTCTTTGTCCAAACTTTAGACCATCTGACTTAATCTGATTCCGTGTCAAAGTTTGATAATTCTTCTGTTAAGTGCTTCAGGGCAATTTACAATGTTCGAGGCTCCTTATAAATGCGAGTAATTGTTATTGCATTTGGATAGGATATAGTGAAGATAAAAGACAGATCAAACTAAAATGATGAATTATTACATGATTGCTGCTCTATTTATGGACTAGTTAGGGATGAAACGCAAAGTGAAACATGCTTCTGCTTTCGAATAGGCAAGACTAAAATAATGAATGGTAGGTAACTCCCTCATGAACACCATAGTGTGAATGAGTTACAAAGACACGGCTACACCACAAGCCAATAGAGGGCACTGCAGTCAATTTAATGACCATTGGAGGTGACAGATTAGTGAACTATTTCCTCTCAGTGTAACACCACACTGTGTGATGCTCTATAAAAATATTTTACATTGAATATCACAGAACTATACACAGGGTTTTAGCAGAGAACATCAGTCTAGTGAATCTCTTCCTTCATTACTATAATAAAATTCCCTGTCTTAAATGAAACACTTCAACAATGCAGGAAGTGTGAATTGTGAAGCTACCATACACCAAGAGGAAAGGTCACCTTGAGGGAAAGGAGCAAAGCTTCAGGCTGATCCTTAGTTTCAGGGGGAGAAGGTGTCAATTATTGTTCCCTGCAGTTGCATTTTTTTTATTCACTTGTGGGATATGGGCATCTCTGGCTGGGTCACCATTTACTTCCTGTCCCTAGTTGCCCCTTGAGAAGGTGGGGGTGAGCTGCCTTCTTGAACTGCTGCAGCCCATGTGCTGTAGGTCGACCCGCAATGCCCTTAGGAAGAGATTTTGACCCAGCGACAGTGAAGGAAGGGCAATATATTTCCAAGTCAGGATGGTGAGTGGCTTGGAGGGGAACTGACAGGTGGTGGTATTCCCATGTATCTGCTGCTCTGGTCCTTCGAGATGGAAGTTGTCATGGCTTTAAAAGGTGCTGTCCAAGGATCTTTGGTGAATTTCTACAGTACATCTTATAGATAGTACACACTGCTGCTACTGAGCGTTGGTGGTGGGGGGAGTGAATGCTTGTGGATGTGGTGCCAGTCAAGCGGGCTGCTTTGTCCTGGATGGTGTCAAGCTTCTTGAGTGTTGTTGGGGCTGCACTCATCCAGGCACATGGGGAGTATTCCATCACACTCAATAGGAGCCTACAGTTAGTTTTCCCATGCTCAGCAACAAAGAACAATCCTAAAAGTCCTGGCTCTCTCAGAAATTGAAATGCAGTTGACCATCTGATTTCTGCCGATGTTGCTGAATTGCCAGACTTGCTGGATGACTGGAGACCTCTTGTGTTCCCACAGCCTTTTTGACAACGCATTAGTAAAGTCTACCAGGCTGTCTGATACAGGCCACAAAATATACATCAGTTTCAATGAGAACCATAAGGACACAGAGTGTTTAAAGTGAATTGCATTAGTAGTTGCAGAGGAATATATTTGCACATTTAAAGGAAAAAGTGGGACTAGCTGTATTTCTGTTGCCAACATGATTTGTAACCATTTTACTCTATTACATAATCCCATGGTTATAAAGATATACACAATGCTGCACTTCACTAACATTCCTGATTAAATTGGTGAGCATTTGCAGCACAGTAGCACAGCTGTATTGTTAACTAGACTAGTGATCTATTGTCACAGAGACATAGAGATGTACAGCACAGAAACAGACCCTTCGGTCCAACTCATCCATGCTGACCAGATATCCTACATTAATCTAGTCTCATTTGCCAGCATTTGGCGCATATCCCTCTAAACACTTCCTTATCATATACCCATTCAGATGCCTTTTAAATGTTGTAATTGTACCAGCCTCCATCACTTCCTCTGGCAGTTCATTTCATATATACACCACCCTCTGTGTGAAAAAGTTGCCCCTTTGGTCCTTTTTAAATTTTTCCCCTCTCATCTTAAGCCTATGCCCTCTAATCTTGGACTCCCATACCCCAGGGAAAGGACCTTGGCTATTCACCCTCTCCATGCCCCTCATGATTTTATAAACCTCAATAAGGTCAACCTTCAGCCTCCAACGTTCCAGCCTATTCAGCTTCTCCCTATAGCTCAAACCCTCCAGTCCCAGCAACATCCTTGTAAATCTTTTCTGAACCTTTTCAAGTTTATTCCAAAAGTGGCCTAACCAATGTCCTGTACAGCTGCAACGTGACCTCCCAACTCAATGAACTGGCCAATAAAAACAAGCGTACCAATCCTAAATGAATAGTCCAGCGACTGAATTATCTTAGAATCCCTACAGTGTGGAAACAGTCCACACCAACCTATAGAGCATCCCACCCAGACCCATTCCCCCTATAACCCACCTAATCTACACATCCCTGGACACTATGGGAAATTTAACACGGCCAATCCACTCAACCAGCACATCTTTGGACTGTGGGAGGAAACCGGAGCACCCAGAGGAAACCCACTCAGACACAGGGAGAATGTGCAAACTCCACACAGACAGTCACCCAAGGGTGTAATCAAACTCAGGTCCCTGGTGCTGTGAGGCAGCAGTGCTAACCACTGAGCCAACATGCTGCCAAACGTTCGTTCAAATCTCACCACAATGATGAAGGAATATAAACTTAAGTAATAAAACTTGAACTTGAAACTATTGTCATTAATAACGATCAAACACAACTAGATTGTTGTAAAAAGCCGTCTGATTCACCTCCGTCCTTCAGGGAAGAAAATTTGCTGACCTGGCCCAATCTGGTCTATACGTGACTCCAGACCCACAGCAATGTGGTTGACTTTAAACTTCCCTCCGAAATGGTCCGGCAAGATCCTCAGCTTGTTTTGAATTGCTACAGCGAAAAAATATTTTGTGTGTCCCTACACCACGTGAACTGCAGCATTTTGAATAAAGTCACTCCCAACGCTTCCTCAGAGGCAATTAGGGACAAACAATAAATGCTATCCTTTACAATGCTGTTCATATCTTAACAAGGCATTTCAAAAAAATGGATTGAATGTGAAGCTTTAACAAGCAAACACCATCAGAAATTCATGTAACCTTTCTTAGATCCAGACAGATCTCCAGGCCAGGAGACAGGCTGAAATGTCACTCAGTTTGATTGCTCTTGTCTGGGGTTTACTGGGTGTCAAAGATAACTAAAAGAAGTGAAGAAACTCACCCTGTGCACCTTGGCAATCTGATCTGACAAAGTGTCCAGCAAGCGGGTTTTCATAAAATCAGCCACATTTGCGGTCTGGTCATCAATGTAGTAACTGCAACAGGTACACAGCAAGAAATATTAGCAAAGTGACTGATCACTGTCCAGATCCACTCAGAAACAAGGGAGTTGCTCCTCCTTCATGATTAAACAAGACTGTAGTGATTGGACATTGCATCATTCTACAAGAACTACATGCTGACTTCAGTCATAGAGTTTTTACAGGATAGTAGATATCCACTCTCCACTCCAGTTCTCTGCACTGAAATCCAGTCACCCACCCTTATATAACCTTGGTCACTTATTTCCCTCAAGTGACCATTCAATATCCTTCTCAAACCAGTCTTAGTCTCCAGTTCTCCCAATCTCCGATGCAGTGAGTTCCAGCTTATTGCCATTCTTGCCACAAATGTGAAATGCTTCACATGTCATCTCCGTTAACATTTTTTTTGTTGCTTTCTCATATTCCTGCCCCTGTGTTTTTCTGAAAATCTGAAATCTGTGTCCCACAGCCTTTGGCTATCAGCTAAGGGGAACAACTTTTCTTTTTACAGCCTGTCTAAACATGTAATAAAAATGTTCATCTCTGCCAGATCTACCATTTGTGAGCTGCCCAACTTGCTTGCCCGATGGGCTAGTTGAAGACTTGACTTCCACTTTCAGACTCACATATAAAGGCCCTTGGGGCAGCATGTTGGCTCAGTGGTTAACACTGTTGCCTTGAAGTGCCAGGGACCCGGGTTTGATTTCAGCCTCAGGTGACTGTCTATTTGGAGTTTGCACATTCTCCCCACAGTCCGAAGATGTGCAGATTAGGTGGAATGGTCATGCTAAATTGCCCATAGTGTGCAGGCTAAGTGGGTTAGCCATGGGAAATGCAGGGTTACAAGGATAGGGTAGGGGAGTGGGTCTGGATGGGATGCTTTTCAGATAGTCAGGATGGGCTGAATGGCCTGCTTCCACACTGTAGGGATTCTATGAAACCTTCAGAAATAAAGTCTTGCTACAGATAGTACTCTTTGCACAGTTTCCAAAATCATGCTGGTGGCAGAAGCCATTAAAGGCACAGTAAAGGTTATGCTAAATCACTGCTATGTTCTGCTTCATATTTCATCTCTGTTAACATGTTTTTAACAGGAATGGAGAAATGAAAGCATTGAACATTCTGTGCCTGACTCTGAGTCAGAAGGCTGTGGGGTTGAAACCCCATTATAGAAGTTTGAGCACAAATTTGACACTTGAGTGCGGAATTGACAGAAGGCTGCATTTTCTGAGGTGCTGTAACAATAAAACCAGGCTGCCTTGTGCTCTCTCAGCTGGACACAGAAGATCCGTGATGCTGCTTTCAAGAAAAGCTAGGAAGGTCTCCTGGAATCCAACACCAGAAAAACATGATTGGCTCTCTTCTCTTTTTCGTTCTTTGTGGAAGCTAGTTGTCAAAAATTGGCACTTCCAAGATCACAATATTTTGAAAGTATTTACGTGGCTGTAAAGTGTTTTGGGGCATCTATCATGACATAGCATCATTCCATTTAGAATCCCTTTAGTGTGGAAGCAGGCCATTCAGCCCATTGAGTCCACACTGACCCTCTGAACAGCACCCGTGACCTATCCCATTCTTGTAACTCTGAATTTCCCATGGAGAACCCACCTAGCCTGCACATCCCTGGACACAATGGGCAACTGAGCATGGCCAATCCATGTAACCTGCACATCTTTTGACTGTGGGAGGAAACCAGACCACCCGGAGGAAACCCATGCAAACATAGGGAGAATGTGCAAACTCTACACAGTTGCCCAAGGGTGGAATCAAACCCAGATCCCTGGTGATGTGATGCAGCAGTGCTAACCACTGAGTCACCGGGCACCCCAATTTAAATCTGAGATGGGCAGCATCACCCCTAGGTTCTTACAAAGTGTTCACAGCACAGATTCAGGCCATTCAGGCCAACTATCTAGTGCTGATAGTCTGAATGAGCCTTCTCACACCCATCATCATCAAGATCGACCAACATATCCTTCTACTTTTTCATCCTTCATATCTCGCTTATCCTTAAATGCATTTATGCCTCACCTTAACCATTCCCTGTGGTTATACGTTTCTTTTTATTCCAACTCTCGTACAGACATTTCTACTGAATCTCCTCATGGATTTAGCAGTGACTTGTCTTACTTTCATACCTACCCAGTTCTGGTCTTGCTGACATAGCTTGTCCATAACTTTCTTACCAAACCCAAAAACTTGAAGAACTCTATTTTGTCACTCCATTAACAGAAAAGATCCACAGCTTATCCAATCTTTCCTGACAGGGAGAACTTTTTGGTAGCATTCTGGTAATTTTATTTTCACTTTCTTTGGTGCCTCTCTATACTTTTCATACAATGGTGACCAGAGTTTAACACAAATTGAACCTCGCTGCTTTTCTATTCTATCCCTCTATAAATGAACTCCAGAGATGTTTTGCTTTTAAGCTTTTTTATTGCCTTATTAAAATACATTCTTATGCTGTGTGTCTCTCCACACTTTAATCCCTCAGTTCCTCTCTACCCCATTGAGATACTTGGCTCCCAGAGAATCTGTGATCTCTTAATTCCCCTTAAAAAAAATCACTTCACACTTGTCTGCATCAAAGTGAATTTTCCAATTACACGATTATTCTAAGAATTTATTAATGTCTTCCCTCAGTTTGCTGCACTAACTTGTATCAACAACATCTTAGCTTTGCTGTTGAGATTGGTAATGGTTTCATTACACCATGATTGATGCCAACATCAAGTAGGTACTGAGACAAAAATGCTAGAATTCTTTATTTGTTTTAAAAAAAGATCAGTACTGACACATTTGTCAAAAACACATGCTGAAATTGAACCGTTGGCAATGATAGTTGGGTATTTACAATTCTCCATCTATCAACAGGCCTCTCAATTGAACAGTAGCCAGTTTAGTTATGAATTCCTGTGCCCTCTAGCATATACTACATTCCTGGAGTTTACTGTGTCTTGTTCCATTATTGGCTCACAGATCTGGTGTTGACATGTCTATTGATGGCTTGTTTATGAATCTTGAAAGACAAGTAAAGGAAGCCTTTATTTAGGCCTCAGGAGGAAATTCTTAACCAAAGCAAATTGTTCAGCAATAAGTAATTGACTAAGAGGGATGAGGTTGGATAGAACACAGGGAAATACTCCAGAACTCAGTAGTAATTTCACAGGAACCAGCAACAAGAACAAACTAACCAGTTCTGTCAAGAATTACAAACTGGCTAACTGAGGGACAACAATCTCAGTGCCTTTACCTGGTTACCATTGTCCAGCTTCCTGACCAGCTCATGCCACTCAGGCAGAAGCCAACTAAACGTCTACCAGTCAACAGATTGGGATGCAAACAAGGACAGAAGCTTTTCTCTTCATTTCCCACCTCAAACTCAATGCCCAACCTGGTACCAAAATCAACACTTCTTTTCTCCTCTTGTCACTTCATCCCAATCAGGTCATTATTTTACATGATAATGAGGGCCATCAGTACAGCAATCCTGAATCTTATAGTTTTTGCATTCATAATGAATAAGGAGAGAAAATAAGGTACCGCTGCTGTTGGGATCAGCTGACACTTCAACAAGCAGAGAGATTCTGAGGCAGAGAAGTGTTCATGGGAGTGGGTATTGCTGTCTGGGCCAACATTTATTGCCCCTTCCTAGTTGCCCTTGAGAAGATGGTGGTGAGCTATTTTTTGATTGTGCCATAGAACAGTGGCTTTGTACACATTTCACTGTACTCCTGCATTCCTGTACCTGAGCACACGTGACAATAAAATCTAACTCTAAGTCTAATTCTTGAACCACTGCAGTCCATGTGCTGTAGGTAGACCCGCCATGCCATTAGGGAGGGAATTCCAGGATTTTGTCCCAGACACAGTGAAGGGACGGTGATATATTTCCAAGTCAGGATGGTGAGTGACTTGGAGGGGAACTTGGAGGGGGTATCTGCTGCCCTTGTCCATCTAGATGGGAGTGGTCGTGGGTTTGGAAGGTGCTGTCTGAGAATCTTTGGTGAATTCCTGCAGCGTACCTCTAGATAGTACACACTGCTGCTACTGAGCGTCGGTAGTGGAATAATCATTGTTGCAGCTGGGAAAAAGGTTTAGCAGCAGTTACTTGTTTATTTTTGACATTCTCAAACTGACTTGCGGCAGCATGAGACCTTTGGGAGGTTTTAACTCCAGCTCATGAGGACTCCTCAGAAGAAAATGTGGATGTTCTTATGTCATAAATGAGAGACAGTGCATCAGAGGGTGAGAGAAAGGACACTGAGCTTTATAAAGAGGACATATTTCATCAGTTATGATTCCCCCTCCCTCACAATGACCAGAGAAATATAGACATAGAAAATAGGAGCGGGACTAGGCCATTCAGCCCTTCGAACCTGCTTCGCCACTCAATAGCAGATCGTCCATCTCTATTCCTGCTTTCTGCCCATACCCTTTGATTGCTTTAGCCCTAAGACCTATGTTTAACACTTTCTTTAAACGTTCAATGTTTTGTCCTCAACCATATCCTGTGCCAGCACAGAAAGGCAACACCATTTCAATAGGCCTTCTGTCTGGTCATTGATATTGGCACAGAGCTTTTCATCAAATAGGCAACAGGGGAAGCTCTGCTAGGGTCCTGCAGACATGCGTATCCTCCATGCTGTACTCACAGAGATAACACAGTGTCTAAGGTCAGGATCAGGCAGTGACAAGGGGCACTCCCAGCCTACTGTATGGACATTGTCTGATCACTGACACCCATTGCAGGAGGGCTGAGGAACTCATCGACATGGGAAGCTATCACTGTGTTATGGCAGCTTTCCTTGCCTTATCAAGACACCAAAGTGGCTTTAGAAACTTATAGAAATAATCACAGACGTGTAGAAAATAGGAACAGGAGTAGGCCATTCGGCCCCAAAGCCGGTTCTGCCATTCAATGGCTGATCATCCATCTCAGTACTCTTTCTCCCTACACCCTTTTAGCCCTAAGAAATATATCTGACTCCTACTTGAAAACACTCAATGTT